GACTGACTGAAGCTGTGACTGACTGAAGCTGTGACTGACTGAAGCAGTGACGGACTGAAGCTGTGACAGACTGAAGCTGTGACAGACTGAAGCTGAAGCAGTGACAAGCTGAAGCTGTGACAGACTGAAGCTGAAGCTGTGACGGACTGAAACTGAAGCTGTGACAGACTGAAGCTGTGACTGACTGAAGCTGTGACTGACTGAAGCTGTGACTGACTGAAGCTGTATCAGACTGAAGCTGAAGCAGTGACGGGCTGAAGCTGTATCAGACCTCATGACTCTTGTTATCGTTTCACCTGCTCAGTTTCTCAGGCGTGGTTTCAGCTCACAGAAGTTTCCCTCAGAACATGAGTCTCAGTCACGTGTTCTCTCAGGTGGACTGATTCTAAATCTCCTCGAGCCTCCAGGACCCTGATGAGTCATGAGAGTTCTAAACCTGTTTGTTCTTGTTCTTTACCAGGCTCAGTATTATGGAGACATCGCCCTGGGAACCCCCCCTCAGACGTTCAGTGTGGTGTTTGACACGGGTTCCTCCAACCTGTGGGTTCCCTCGGTTCACTGCTCCATCCTGGACATTGCGTGCTGTAAGTCCGCTGTGGTTACATCTCTTTATTCCTGCACGTGTTCTCTGTAAATGTGTTGTAGCTTCTAACCTGCACTAAATCAAAGTGTCTCTTTCTCCAGGGCTGCACCACAAGTATAACTCTGCTAAGTCCAGCACTTACGTGAAGAACGGCACCACCTTCGCCATCCAGTATGGATCTGGCAGCTTGTCGGGCTTCCTCAGTCAGGACACGTGCACAGTGAGTCCGTCACACAGAGTGAACTGGGAGTCGGTGTGAAACTCTCTCATTTCTCTTTATCTGTTTCCAGATCGGAGACTTGACGGTGGAAAAGCAGGTTTTCGGAGAAGCCACCAAACAGCCCGGTGTGGCTTTTATCGCAGCCAAGTTTGACGGGATCCTCGGCATGGCCTACCCGCGCATCTCTGTGGACGGCGTGGCGCCGGTCTTTGACAACATCATGAGCCAGAAGAAGGTGGAGGAGAACGTCTTCTCCTTCTACCTGAACAGGTGAGACCACAGATTGGATTTAACAGCTTCAGAGTTTCTGAAGCTCGACTCAGAGGGTGAGACTGATTCTGAGTTTCAGTCTCACTGTAAGTTTCCTTTAGCCCGGAGGAGTAACATGGCTTCTTTGTTTTCATGAACCATGACATGTGGTAAAAATACTTCATAGTAAACCAAACCTTCTGCAGACGGATAAAACAACAGCTTGAACGTCGCCCTCAAAGTTTGAATCGTTTTCGTCTCTCGTGGCGACAGGAAGATCTGAAGTCATGTTTTTATCTTCTCAGAAATCCAGACATGGCGCCCGGCGGCGAGCTGCTGCTGGGAGGAACCGACCCAAAATACTACAGTGGTGACTTCAACTATGTCAACGTCACCCGGCAGGCGTACTGGCAGATCCACATGGACGGGTGAGTGCTCAGTTATTACATATCTGCTGCTGAGGAAACCATCAGAACAAGTCTCCGTCTCCTCTCTCACTTTTCTGTCCCACACCGTTCAGACAGTCTTTTAGTTCAGACGCCTCCGACTCACAGATCAGTCGATCGTTTCAAAGTGACTGTTGTTCCTCAGTAACGTGAAGCTGTTGTTGCTTTTCAAATGTGTGTGTGAGACAGGATGGGGGTGGGCAGTCAGCTGACTCTGTGTAAGGACGGCTGCGAGGCCATCGTGGACACGGGGACGTCTCTGATCACCGGCCCCTCCGCTGAGGTCAAGGCCCTGCAGAAAGCCATCGGAGCCGTTCCACTCATCCAGGGAGAGGTGAGAGAAACTGACTGATGATGAAGAAACCGTGAAACCAGAGGGAGAACAGAAGAGAAGAGCTTTTACATTCGTGCAAAACATTTTGATCTTTGAGCATAAAAAGATTTGAGTTTTAAGAGCTGAAGAACAAAGCTGCTGCGAAAACCCTTCAAAGCACAGACACACACAGAGACACAGACAGACACAGACAGACACAGACAGAGACACAGACACACAGA